TCTTTGTCACTGTGAAAGGTGTGTGTCAACATCTGTAACATTTCTGTCATTGTGCTTCTTTTGCTTATGACACATTTTACCTTTAAGTGCTCAGTCTTGTTTTCTTCCTCATGTATTTCTCATCTGGCCAGGTGAGGATATGCAAGAGGCCGCCACCATTTGCAAGTCTAATTTTAAGGTAAGAGATATTTTGCATTAGTTTTGTGTTTATACATTGCTGTTTCAAGAGTAACAAACTCATACTGACAAGTAGGGATGCACCAATACCACTTTTTCCTGAAATAGGCAGATACTTTTAATTTAGTACTTACCAATATCGGTACCTGTATATTTATTGCATTTGTAACTTTTAATTATATTAGGTAGAGAAAGCAAAATAATATGAATCATTTCCAATGGTTTAATTGGTTTAGCAAATAACAAATTTGTTATTTCATGCTTAAAGGGCTGTTCGGTAACTCTAGCCACTTATTCACTGATTTTCACTTTTCTTGTCGCATGTTTTCTCAACAAGCTCCCCCTACAGCTGTGGTGCGAATATTTCACAACACAGTCGTAAATTCACTTGCGGCGCCCAACTCCCCTTTCTACTGTAGATGCGCTCATGTGCTTTTGTTATTGTCGGATCCGGTGTGTTGAACAAATGAGTCCCAGAGACTCCAACTTTATTGTGTAGTTCTATGTCTACCGAGGTGGGTAACACATCATACACAGTATCATTTAACATTGACATGTACATTTTTGTAGTCTGTTATCAACCATAATCCGTAACGGGGTGGGCGGATGAATCTAGCAAACATTACCGCCTTATCTTAGTTATAGATTAATCAACCCCCAAAAAGAAGTGTGATAAAGTTTATCTTATAATTGTACAGACAAAGCTCATGTTGCAGTCTTTTCTAATGTAGACAGGATGCATTATTGGTTACAATCAATGTTTTATATGTTAGTAAAGAACAATTATAGATCATAACGGAGTTGACCAAATAATAAACAATTTTATTGACACAGAAACGCTGTACTTTAGCTCTCGCCATTCCGTAAACACACAACCAATTTTTATTCTCGTGTTGTCCCTCGCTCAACAGCTTTCTTCCTCTCCCTCACCTCCTCCGCCGAGTACCGTCTCCTTTTTCTTTTCACTGGAGCTTATGAAGCATTATCCATCGTTGCGTGTTGGTTCTTTTAGCTAGTATTGAGCTTGAGGGGGGCGTGTGTGTTTCGAATAGCCGTAAAACAGTTTGTGTTTCTCGCTCTTTCTTGCTCGTTCTCGCTTCTCACAAGACTTCCTATTTCCAATTTACCGGAACAGTAGTCTTCATGTTGCAAGGCTGATTTTCCGCCTGGGAACGCTGGGGGGAGCTGGGGGGATTCTCACCAGAACTGGTTATTTAAACATCCAAATGATTTCTAAATGGATTTATTTAGTTGAAAAAGTTGCCAAGTGCTGCTTTAATTATCCCTTTTTAAAATGTATTATACATGTTCTGTTACTTTCACTGCTTATTCTATTGCTCTATTATATTTTATCTTTCATTTAATAGCACAGCACGTTTTAAGAGCTGCTTCAGCAGGGTTCAATTCTAAGGATTTTTTTTCTTTTGGCTAGGAAACCCGCCTTGATGGGCGTGTTTACATGATTTTGTGGAAATTTGTCAGTTCAAACGCAAGTAGATGTGAAAGAGAATTCAATTCAGCATTCAAGTACTTTCTGAGACACGGCTTTCTGGGTGCGTGCTTCGGATGTGTGCGTGCACTAAACTTCTTGACCTGTAATAATATAGGAAATCACTCGTTATACATAAATCAAGTAACAGTTCACGTTTTTACTCACATATACGATATAGTTTTAATCCAAATGATGTGTGCTAAGTGAGTGATCAACAATCAAGAGCATGCAACAGAAGTGCACGCACTCTCTATTTCTCCATCAGTTAATGTTAGTAATATGTGATCAAACAAAAAAAACTTTCCAGCGATGTCTGTGGAAAAGGGTTGCGCTCAACAAACTTATGGGTCTATGTCGCTGCTTGCTTAATCCACTCCACGTGTTTCGCTTATCAGCTCGTGCACAGCAGCTATATAGGCATAAATATTTAATTTGTACGTGTTTTTTTTGTCACAAGCACCGTACATAACACGCTGTTTAATATCAGTTGTTGGTATTGGATCATTTTAATGAGTACGACATGAGTACACAAGTGCTGTATCGGGCCATACTGCATCCTTACTGACAAATGACATGTTACTCTTACTGTATCCATATGATTATACATGAATTTCCCTGGAAAGACTCTTGCACAAGTCAAAGGAAAAAAATGCGTAGAGGAATTGCATAAGGCAATGACAATAATACTACACAAATATTCAGACTGGTTGGCCAACATATTTTAAGCATGTTGTCATGCTGGGACAAGAAACGGCAAAGTGCTGAAAACGTGGGTCAGAAATACTGCAAAATACTTTTATTTGACCACCCTTTGAACCCATTAGAGATTATTTTTATCCCAACTGGAATTGTTTTGGGAGTTTTCTTGTTTTTTTATAAATACATCTGTATATGTGTAGTTTTGCATCTGTCTGCCTCGCTATAAATTGCCCTGTGCAAGATTTGCAACTTTGCACCATTGCCTGATTTGCATAACTCCATTAGTGAATCAGGCTTTAAAACAACACAGGCTGTGCAGTGCAAATAAACAAAGCAATTCATTCTTAGTGAACCCCGCCTCTGTCTCTCAGTGCCTGCTCTGTGTTGAGCTCCTTGTGTTATCAGTTCTGGGAAAAACCCATTCCGTTGCAGACAGAAGAGATTACGCCATTCTTTCACATTCAGAGAAAGACATTTTCTCTATTTTGTAATAGACGGCAGCTGATTGTGTGTTGTGTGTCTTCACAGTACATGTACTGGTCCATGAAACAGCAGCTGGCACACCACACAGTCAACGGCTGCAACGTCAGAGCGGGCGACCTGCTGGCATCTGGCACCATCAGTGGACCGGTACGCGTGTGTGTGCAAGCATGTCATTGATATAGAGTATATTAGAGAAACACTCGAAAAAGAAAAGCCTGCTGTCTCATGATGGGTCTAAAGAGACACATTTGTTATGTTATGACCTTAAAAACCCCAGTTTATTTTTTATTTTTTATTTTTTATTATTAATTAATTAAAGTAGACACACTTTAAACCATATTTATATATTTATTTTATGTAACTACTTTATATATGTTATTAAATGTAACTATACATGTTATTAAAATGTAACTATAATTATTAATAATAATTTTAAACATACAAAGAAACTACACTGGAAACCACATTTATATATTTTTATTTCAATCTGTTAAATTAGTCGATTGTATAACAATTACCTTAAATTATTAAATGTAGCTATAATTATTAATAATAATTTTAAATATAGGCCTACAACCATTTATTAATTTCAATAACTGCACTAGAAGACACATTTATATTTAGTTTTATTTAAATCTGTTAAATTAGGAAATTGCATAATAATTATCTTTAATTATTATTTTTAACTACAATTATTAATAGTAATTTAAAAAATAATAATTTAAGTAACTACACTGGAGACAACAGTTATATTTTCTTTATTTTAATCTGTTATATTCAGTAAATAATATAATTAACTATAATTATTAAATGTAGTTATATTTATTAATAATAAATCTCTTCAATCTGTTAAATTTAGTGAATAATATTATAATTAACTAATTATACATTTTTCTATTATTAATAATTATAATACAACTCATTTAAGTAAATGAACTGTAAGACACATTTATATTTTTTATATTATTTCAAAATAATACTTTAGTTATTCATTTTAACTATAATTGTTTATAATAATAATATGTCAAGCTTGTTTGTTTTCTGAAAAAATAAATAAATAAGTAGTATATTTCTGCACAAAGCTGTTTTATACAGTACTGACACTGTGTTTGTTCGCACAAAGGATCCAGAGAGTTTTGGCTCTATGCTGGAGCTCTCATGGAGGGGATCCAAGACTATTGACCTCGGCAATGGAGAGACAAGGACCTTTTTGAAGGATGGAGACGAGGTCACGCTCTCAGGTGGGCTTTTAGAGTTGGTGTGTGTGTGCATGTTTGAGGGTTTCTGTCACATCGTTTTTTTTTTACCTGTTGTTGAGTTGAAGAGCTATAAGTTGATAGAAATGTGATCCCTATTGGTATTTGCTAAAGGATATGATCACTCTCTCTCTGTGCAGGTTATTGTGAGGGCAGTGGCTATAGAGTGGGATTCGGTCTGTGTGAGGGGAAGATCCTTCCTGCTCTGCAACAGTAAAGCACCTCTCTTGCTCTCCCTCCTTACTGTAAGCGAGACAAAACACATGGCATCTACAGTATTATTCATCCTCTAGTATTCATAAGTTGTTTAAAACTTATTTTAAGGTCTTTAGGACTTTTAAAAATTACGTAAAACTCTTTATTTCTGGGTGAAACAGGATTCATTAAGAAAAAAATGCAGAACGCAACTTGAGTTTGTCCATCGGAACTGGTTGGATTTTGGGTGTTAAATATCACACTGAAGGAGCTGAAATGTATAAGTGATATTCAAACGTTTTCTTTAGATAATTTTTGTGATCTTGAGAAAATGATGGAAAAGCAGTCTTCATGGGCTTTAAAGCAATTCAGCTAGTTACTGCAGAAATTACTCACATTAAAGGGTTTGTTATTCTGTGTTATTGAAAGATAATTCAATAAAGTTGCTGATTCCTTTTAAAATGTCTTAAGTCATTCTTTTTTTTTTTTGTAACATAATGTCCATAAAACATATGCATGTTGCTGAGCTAATGGCTATAAAATCAATAGACCACACAAATACTGGGTAAAATACAAAAACTCTCTTTAAATAAAAGTAAAATAAAAATTACTCTCTTTTTATTGATTGATTGCATATATTGTATATAATCTATTATAACAAAATGTTCTTGTTGTTGCGAACTCCATGATGCATTAAATGCAACCTTAAAGTCTAGGATTCAACCAGCATTGTCCTTGTTGGAGATCCAGGGCCTGGCTGTCAGAGACTCACAAACAGGTACAGTGAAAAATGCTCCCAAATGCAGAGATTGACTGACAGGTCACTGCTTGAGCCCTTTGTCTTTGCTTGTGGACAGAGCTAGCAGCTGCATGCTCTCAATCTGGCTGGAGGGCTCTTACCTTCCTGGCACGCTACATAGGAGCATCTAGCAGCTCCTAAAGTCTTTGAGGGAACGTGAACCTGGCAGAGGAGGCAGAAAGAGGGAGTTTCTGGCTTTGGCTCCACAGAAGGGCCAGAACATGGGATGTTCTGGGATTGAAGGTGCAAAACACCAGTGAAGGGTGGCTCCCGGCTGACGAGGAGGTGCGTCAGGCAGCGATGCCTAGCAGGTAGGCATACCTGTGCTGACAATACCATTTACTCCCATGTTTTCTTTCCTCCTGGACATACCTGCACCATCTTACGTTATTTTCTCTCTCATATTTTTAACATATGCACTATGTTGGTACCATTTCTTTTGGACTTTTGATTTTTGTTTATTTAGCATTTTGCAACACAACTCTTTCTGGAAATGTACCTGCACCTTTTTTCTCACACACATACTATGGTACTATGGTGCTATTGGGCCCTATTTTAACGATCTGAAACTTAAGTAGCAAGCGCAAAGAGAATCATCTACAGTGTATGCGCGTTGTTCAAACTCTGTATTATGGCCAAACATGCGCACTTAAAATAGCATCTGAATGTTCGCACAACGCGCCACTGACTTTAGATCAGGTTTTTCTGGTCATTGGCGCAATTGTTTTCTGGAACTGCAAAATAGCACCAGGGATTGTTTGAAACACGAAACACGCCTCCTTTTTGCACCAACCTGCCCAGGGAGCGGAAGTTCATTTCCTAGTTTACCGACGTGCGTCTGTCGAGGAAAAAAGCCTGCTTTGCGCGGGTGCAAAATAGGAATGATAAATGCTTTAGTGTATTAAGTCATTTGCGACGGGTGCAAGATAGGGCCCCATAGTGTTTTTATTTGTACATGTATCATGACAGTACCATGGTACATGTACAAACAAAAACATGTACTTGTACTGTACCATGGTACTACTTTATTGGCACATGTACCATAGGACAGCCATGTTTTTTGGATGCGCACCATGGCAATAAAGTTTTTTTTTTGTGTGCGTGTTTGTTTTTTGACAAGCTATTCACTGAATTATCTTTTGATATTTTAAGTATTTATGGTATAGTATCTGATGCCATGGCATCACCACAGTAAGGCCAGGTGGTTGCACCACTGTGGATTTAAACTCAAACTGAAAAATTAAACATACAGTGTGAAATATGCTTATTTTAAATAAATTGTTGTTACGACTTTTTCTGCAATGAATAATTTCTGTTGTGTTCTCATGTCCTGGTAACAGATGGTGCTGAGCGTTTGGAGCCGTGCTGCTGGAGATCACGAGGGCCCGTCTGTGAGTCACTGAGACATCAGAGGTCAGATGGTCTGTGATTCTGTGCTGGCATAGCCTAGGATATCCGCTTCACTCTTACTGCGTGTCTCTCCCCCTCTGTGATCACACTTTTATCGATGCGTCTTGTCGGCCTCACAGATGCACTTTAGTGCTTTTTTGACCTTTCACTTACTGAAGGAGAGGCAGGTGATAAATCTCTGAAAAGAGTGTGTGTCCTGTATACTACCAATAAGACTGGTACTGTGAGATGGTGTTTTTTATTAACAGGTGAGTAAGGTGTTTTATTGAACAGATAAATTGCTTTATGTAGCTCTCTAACAGAATTCATTGTAAAGCATTATCTATTTTGATGGTGGTTGTTGCGCTGCCTGGAATTTATTTTTGAAGGAAGTGCCATGTGTGTTAATGGGTATAGCTACTGTAGTAACATCTTCAGCTAGTCAGTTTGAGATCATTTCCATCTAAACTTGTTATATCTCTTAAAAGAACACTCCAACTTTTTTGGACTTTAGCTTATTCACTGTATCCTCCAGAGTTCGATAAATCCATACAAATCTTTTTCATCTCTGTGCGTGCTGTAACTCTATCTGACGCACCCACCGCTAGCCTAGCTTAGCACAAAGACTGGATGTAAACGGCTACAGCTAGCTTAATCCCAATAAGAGACAAAATAACGCAAAACTGTTCCTATTTACGTGTTGTGATTTGTATAGTCATCATAAATATAATATAATATAAATATACATATACATTTATAATATAAAATATACATCTTTTAATCATAAATATTAGGAACTATATTATCAGAAGGCGAAGCACTGCTTTGGTGCGTCTCAGGTGCTACGGTTATCACTCCGCCCAAGTAGCAGTGCTTCTAAGAAAATATATACCCAATATTTATATCGTTAAAAGATGGCTGTGTCTCATATGACCTTGTGATTTTTATAATCCGTGACTACTATACAATTCACAACATTTAAATAGTTATTTTGTCACTTATTAGAATTTAAATGCTAGCGGTAGCCATTTACATCCAGTCTTTTTTTTAAGCCAGGCTAGCGGTGGGTGCGTCAAACAGAGTTCAGCATGCACAGAGATGAAAAAGGTATGAATGGACTCATCTAACTCTGGGGGATACAGTGAATAAGCTAAAGTCCAAAAAATTCGGAGTGTTCTTTTAAGCCTATAGTGCATTTTTTATCAGTAAGATAACATCTCTCACTTTTTTTTCTTTCATATTTTTAAAGAATCATATTCATCAGCAATGTCACACAGAGATGAAGCACTACCAAAATAATGTCCTTCCACAAAAAAAAAAAAAAAAAAAAAAAAAATGCAGTTATGTTTTTAACCACTAGACTAGAGGACCAAAAGTTATATAGTGCACCTTTATACTAAAAAACAAAAAAACTTAAAGAAAAAATAAATAAATAAAAAACTTTGCCTTTGCCAACTAACTGAAATATATTGGTTTAAGTTGAAGTACTGAAAAGAAAATAAATATTTAAAAAAAACAAAAAAAACCACCAAAATAGCGGGGTTGATTAATTAAGTGTGTGTGCGTTTGTGTGTGCGTGCGTGTGCGCATCAGAGTGTTATAAATTAAATCCACGAGAGGTGTACTTAATCAGTGCAGAAGTACATTATAAATGCAAATGTACAAAACATGAATCATTTTCATTTCACACTGCATTTCAAAACATAATAACATTCGATACCAAACACACACGAAAGTATAAAGATATACAAAGGGCTATAACAGGTGCTAACAGCATAGCTACACAGATAATTTTGAGACTTTTTCCAATTAAAATTGTTAGAAATTGCCATTATTATTATTATTATTATTAGTAGTAGTAGTAGTAGAAGTAGTAATAGTATTTTAATTATTATATTTCAAATGATGTTCTGTTGAACATTCTATTCATCAGAGAATTAAACAGGAAATCTGCACATTATGTTATGTGACACTGAATTATTATATGTGACACTGAAGACTGGAATAATGATCCAGCTTTGACATCACAGGAATAAATGACATATTAACAAATATTCACATAAATGGTTAATTAAAAATATATATATTTTTTAATAATAGTGTGCATCGGCCACAACAGCAGCACATGATTACTGTTCGCATAATTCAGTTAGCTCTGCTGAGAGCTTTTACTCAGCTGCTCCTCATGAATCATGTCCCCATAGTTACTGTGCCTCTAAAGTTAATAGAAGTATTGATTTGTGTGTGTTCTGTGGCAAGTGGAGCAGTGCTGTTGTAGTGTGTGTGAAAGTTCAGTTAGTAGCGCACAGCTAATCTCAAAGCTTTCAAACAATTGCCTGAACACTGATGTAAACACATTTACACTGATTGGAAATCAAATAATTCAAGTATTTACAGTGGTGTGAATAAGTTTGGACACCCATGCTAAAGTTGCCTAAAAAGAGGAATAAAAAATCATCTTTTGGATATTGATCTTAATGCATTATCTTAATGCCTTAATTAGAAAAATAAGGAAAACTCCAACCTTTAAGGACACAATATCCTCTTTAAGGAATTAAAATATCCCCACATCATCACACACCATTCACCATGCCTAGAGATTGGCATGGTTTTACTTCAGTTAGCCTAATAGCTGGTTTGATTTGCATTGAAAGATGATCTTATGGAAAGTACCCCATGCCAGTCTCTAGGTGTGGTGGAAGGTGTTTGATGATGTGCGGATATTTTAATTCCAAAGGCCAAGGGAACTTTATCAGGATGCATATTATCCTGGATCCATGAAATAACTGGCTTTTAAAAATAAAAATCTGCCTGACTCTATGGGAATTTAATATAGGGGTGTCCTGACTTATGCACCCTGTATTTTAAGGAAAAACGTTTATTTATTTATGATACATTATTCATTCACAAAGAAAATTTGTGTCCTTAAAGGTTGGAGTTTTCCTCATTTTTCTAATTAAGGCATAAAGATCAATATCCAAAAGATGATTTTTTATTCCTCTTTTTAGGCAACTTTAGCATGGGTGTCCAAACTTATTCACACCACTGTATAGCACTGTGCATGATTTGGTAAGATGATCATTCCTACTATGCATACTACTTATCATAAATTTCATTTCGCTTTGTAAAGATGTGTTCTTTTATCACAATACCAGTTTAATATTATATATATATTTCTGTCCTTTCTTCAAGCAACATGTTTTCTAAGGAATTATGTTTTAATGGAAAATCATGAATGTCATTTTCATGAATATCAAGAAAATCCCTTTTTATGAATGTATTGGTTGGTTGGTTGGTTGGTTGGTTAAATAGTTAGTTTTAAATATTTTCATATAGCTGGGTTTCATAGGATAAACAGAAAAAAATCTAAATATAGTAATAAAAACAAAAAGTTAAATCCACTCAATTTTAATATTGTTTTATGTATTGTTGAACTATATTTTTGAATTCAAAATATTCCCCCGTATTTACATTTATATATACTAAATTATAAAAATTCCATGATGAAATCATCCTCCAGAAAATTACATCAATTTGGGGGGAAACAGATATTTTATTATTATTATTATTATTATTATTCATTTACTATTTAACTTATACATCCTCATGATCTTATTATGCAAAATCCATCAGTGCATGTTAAAAAACTGCATTTGATGTTGACAATTTTAGGCTATGAAAACCAGGTCTGATGTATTCGACACATTGCCTATGTTGAAGTACAGTGTACAAGACCTCAAAACAACAACGATCTTCTCATTTGATTACAAAATGCTCCATTTAGTTTGGAAGTTGGACATTATTGTGAAAAAAAAAGTGACCAAACATTACTGGGCTATTGAATATTTCCATTAGGCGAATATACTCTTAACAAAACAAAACTTAATTGAACCCTTGAAAGTGCTGCTTGATTATTTCAAAAATGTACTTTGCATCATGAACCACCTGTTCTAGGGCAGTAATAATGTCTTGTTGTTGTATTTTAAATCTTGGACTGCACAAACTCTATCATGAATGTAGCACTTTGAGATTTGTTCTCAAATAAAAAAAATGCATTAAAATTAACATTAATATTATTATGAATCCTAAAACCTAAAATGCAATGCAAACGTTGATAAGAGTTAAGTAACATGTTGGCAAGACTGGCAGGAATTTTTTTGTAGCATTTAAATGAATTGAACTGCAAATAAAAAGCTGAGGTATTCTTAGCTTGATCGATCGTCCAAATGGCTAATACACGTTGAGAGGAAAGAAACGTGTGGTTCTTATGATAGACAACAAATGCTCTCACTGTCACGGTGCTGAATCATCGGGTCTTTTGTAGGCTGCGAGATAATGAGATATGCAAGGGAAAAACATAAATCAGTTATTAATGAAAGAGATCATAACACAGCAGGCGGACAGAATTGATGTCACGCTCCTCAATGCTGCTGTACTGTATGTGTATTTACAGCATATACAACTGTTACTGTAATGCTTTATTTTGTTATAAACTCTACCTGAGAAAAGTCATAAAAATCAACAACCACTAGCACAAGCACTTCTGGTTGTCTAGATAAAACCTTCTTCACAGATACATGTCTCGAGGCGCTCAGATGTCAGAACTTTGCTTCGTTGTGTCAGTGAGGCTTCCATCAGTGGAGTCATTTTTTATTGAATGGATTTTTTCTCGATAACTCTGCTTCGTATTTAGTTCACCCAAAAATGAAGATTCTGGCATCCTTTAATCACGCTTAAGTTGTTCTAAACCTGTATGAATTTCTGTATGAAATGTAAGATATTTTGAAGAATGTCAGTGACCACCAAACAGTTGTGGGGCACCATTGACTTCTATTTTGTTTCCAAACTATGGAAATAAACAGTGCCCCACATCTGTTTGGTTTATTTAAAATATCTTATTTTGTGTTCATCAGAAGTAATCATACAGGTTTGGAATAACTTGAGGTTGATGATGACAGAATTTTCATTTTTGGGTGAACTTTCTCTTTAAAGGGTTAGTTCACCCAAAAATGAAAATTAAGTCATTAATTACTCACCCCCATGCTGTACCAACCCCGTAAGACCTTCGTTCGTCTTCGGAACACAAATGAAGATATTTTTGATTAAATTTGAGAGCTGTATAACTACCACATTGGCTGCCTAAGGGACTGCCTCTTGACGGCCCAGAAAGTCAATGAAGAAAATGTTTAAATATCCCAAGTGACTACCGTGGCTCAACTATATGTTTATCAAGCGACGCGAATACTTTTTGTGCGAAAAAACAAACAAAAATAACGAGTTTATTTGACTATTTCTTTTCTTCCTTGTAGGCCAGAACGAGACTTCCTTAGATTTCCACGACGCATGCGCGAGAATTGCGATCTGAAGTGGTGTAAGCTGGTGTAAGCAGATCGCAATTCTCGCGCATGCGTCGTGGAAATCTAAGGAAGTCTCGTTTCTATATGTTTTACGAGTTTATTCGACTATTTCTTTTCTTCCTTGTAGGCCAGAACGAGACTTCCTTAGATTTCCACGACGCATGCGCGAGATTTGCGATCTGCTTACACCAGCTTACACCACTTCAGATCGCAATTCTCGCGCATGCGTCGTGGAAATCTAAGGAAGTCTCGTTTCTGGCCTACAAGGAAGAAAAGAAATAGTCAAATAAACTCGTTATTTTTGTTTGTTTTTTCGCACAAAAAGTATTCTCGTCGCTTGATAAACATATAGTTGAGCCACGGTAGTCACTTGGGATATTTAAACATTTTCTTCATTGACTTTCTGGGCCGTCAAGAGGCAGTCCCTTAGGAGCCAATGTGGTAGTTATACAGCTCTCAAATTTAATCAAAAATATCTTCATTTGTGTTCCGAAGACGAACGAAGGTCTTACGGGGTTGGTACAGCATGGGGGTGAGTAATTAATGACTTAATTTTCATTTTTGGGTGAACTAACCTTTTAAGTTTTGTTACAAGCTGTTCACACATTGGCAATACAAAAAAAGCAATGAATAAGCCAAATGAATATTCTTGCATGTAGCGCCTTTAAAGATTTCAAGTAGGGATGGGCAACGATTAATCGCGATTAATCGTATCCAAAATAAAAGTCTGTGTTTACATAATATATGTGTGTGTATAATTAATTTGTATAAATTAATACACACACATGCATGTATATATTTAAGAAATATTTGCATGTATATACTTAATATATATTTACACATAATTAATATTATATATAAATATAAATATTTGATATATTAATAACACATTTTTCTTAAATATACACATACATGTGTGGGTATTTATATATACAAATTAATTCTACACACTATATTATGTAAACACAAACTTTTATTTTCCCTAATTTCATGTGAAAAGATTTGCAGTGTATTCACCAATGGTTGGTGATGTTTTACCAAAAATATTAGAATCAATATAATCTTTATTGTGATTCAGAACAGACATGTAGCACAATTGCATTTTCTCATCAGACAGGACACATTGGCATTTTTTTGTGCCCATGAATGAAAGATACATTCATTTCTTCATTTTTATGACTTCAGCTGAGGCACTTGACATCATGCAGTGCAGACTATAGCTCTCTGCAAATGCGTACACTTAATCAAAGACAATAAAATCAGATCACATCAGGGAATCAGACTGTGATTGAAAGAGACAGATGCTCTTCTAAAAACATTGTCAAGATGAATGAAACAGTTTGTGGTGTTTTTCATCTCAAGTATTTTGCCCCAAGGCATTCAGTCAAGGTTTTGTCGTCTTGCAAAATATAATCACAATTAAGAACGGAAACAATGTAAATGTGAACGCTCCATCAATAAATTGCAAGTATGCAGTTCCATTGTACAAACTGTACTTGTAGGGGTGATTACAAAGTAGGCTACTCAAGGGGGCGATAGTTAACTGCAAATGTGAATTTCTAAATACTGTTTACTAACTTTGCTCCACGTAAGAGAAGATTGACAGTAGAAGAAAGTTCATGTATGCTATTGCACCCCTTGTGGCAATTGCTAAGAATGCAGCTTTGTTTGCATACAAAATTTAGCTTGCGTAGCTAGAAGTGTGTTCAGGTGTGTATAACATTATGTAATATAAAAATATAAATTTGATGCCATGTTTCTTATTATAAATTCAGGGTGATTTTGGTTTGTTTGGTCTGGTTCTCTTGTGCGCTTTCGGTTTTGGAGTGGTTTCATTGGGTGTCATTTCAGGATTCATGCCTTCTTTGATAGAGTTAGTTGCTAAGAATTAAATTCAGTTTCCATAAAGATGTCTTCAGCTTAGTAAACTTTTGTGATCCTCAAAGCGGTAGATGACTAGCAGCTTAAATATCTCTAGTTATCTTGTACTGGTTGAAACATGGTGTTGGTGCAGACTCGGATCTGTTAATCGTCCAAGTGCTGCTCCTCCCAGGTTGACGTGGGAATGGCGCTGTAGGGGTCCATGATGACTTTGGCACAGCGGATGATCATTGCCACCAGCAGTAGACAGAGGAAGGCGATGCATGCCAGGGTCAGACCCTGGTCCACATCCACAAAAGCAGGGTCTGGTGTTGTCTCCTCCATCGCTTCAGTCTGTCCTCATCAGTCCAGGCCTCTGCTACCATCCTGATCACTTATCTGAGGGTGGGAAGGTTGAGAGACAAGTAAATATCTGCCTGCCAGAAAATCTAATGAAATAATCTGGTTTAACCAATCTGCATAAAGGATTTTAGGTTCAGTACATTTTAAGTTAGCTTAAAGTCCATCAACAGCATCTGTGGCCTGTTGTCGAATTACCACAGATAATATTGTAGGAAAATCTGTAAAGGGGCCATTCGCTCAGGATGTGTTCGTTTTCACATTCGGTCTGAGATATTTATCAATTGTTTGAGAGAGTGGAGTGAGAGAGGAGTAATTTGTGCATATGATTGTAGAACTGTAGAAATAAGAAACCAACAACCATATTTAGCTCTTATGTGTACGTGGTTTTGAACTACAAACTTGTGACTAATAGCCCTGACCCTTGCCAAACTTTTTCAATTTGAAATAGCCACAATTATCAACCGATTCTGATAACTTAAAAATGGCCAGATACCAGAGGATAAGTTTGCCTTTTTGGCACATTAACAGTAATTTCAGTGCAGGATAGAGCTTATTTGTTTACATTGTATTAAATTTTATTAAAATGTATTGTTTATATATATTAAATTGCATTATACAGTATAAATTATACCTGGTTAGAAATCCAAAGTTTGGGGTCAGATTTTTTTTTTTTTTTTTTTTTTTTTACATTAATACTTATATTAAGCATAACGCATTAAAATTAAAATAAACATTTACAGTGTTATTAAGAGGCACAACCATTGATTATAATCAACATTGATAATAATAAGTAATGTTTCTTGAGCAGGAAATCAGCATATTAGAATGATTCTCTGAAGTAATGATGCTGAAAACTCAACTAATAAATTACTTTATAAAATATTTATTAAAATAGAGAAATTGTGATAATATTTCATATTACTGTTTACTGTATGTTTGATGTGTGTGCAATAAAGTCCACTGAAGACGAGCTTGACGAACCCAAAAGCAGTATTTAACAAATGTGTACAAAATAAACAAACTTGACTAAGCATAACTTGACTTGACATGACATAACATAACACTCACCAGTACACGAACAAAGCTAGACATGGATTGTGGTATATATATATATATATATATATATATATATATATATATAGATATAGATATAGATATAGATAGATAGATAGATAGATAGATAGATAGATAGATAGATAGATAGATAGATAGATAGATAGATAGATAGATAGAGACCTTAAACACACCTTTACTTGTATTTACTCTTTATAGACATTCCTCATAAACATCTATTTTTTCAAACGTAGCAAATTATTGAATGAAATTTACAATCATTTAAATTTTTTTTATAAGTTACAAAAACTCTTAATCCACTCATAATCCACTGTGCACAAAATATCATTCAAAGTCCAAATTTCAATAAATCTGTCCATATTATTAATTAGTATAAAATATGCAAACTCTGCCTCAGGACCTACTTCCCCTTCTCCTTTCAATTTCCTTTTCCGTGTTAACCATATTGCCATCTTTGCTCCTCCAACCGCAAAATTAATTAACAACATTTTTTTTCCTTTCTGATGCACATATTTTGGTCCAAAAATGAAAAATAAAATAAAAAACTACCCAAATCTGTAACCCACCCATCTAAGATCTAAAACAATCATCTTAACCTTAAACAATTAAAAAAAGGTATATTGACTCTTCAGTGCCATGAAAAAAAAGGATATTCTTTCTCAACAGTGACTGTATGAACCAACACAGTCTCATCCCAAGACGTCATATAACTGACGTCTTGGGGCGTATTTTGACCATACGTCAATATCCGCCTTTTTAGGGCCCCCTTAAACGTCGGTAGATGGCGATCCCGGGCCGTCATACAACTGACGCTTTACCTTTAACGTCAGTTAGGTGACGGGTTAGGTTTAGGTATGGGGTAGAGTTAGGATCCCATAACCTCATCTACCGACGTTTAAGGGGGCCCTAAAAAGGCGAATATTGACGTATGGTCAAAAGACGTCCCAAAACGTCAGTTATATGACGTCTTGGGATGAGTATGAACACATCTAAAGACTCTCTTTGCATTGCATCACTTTTCATGTGACTTTCTCTTTAGTTTTTTTGCTCCTTTCAGCATGTTCTATTCTCTGTTAAACAACTGCAAATGTTTATTTGTCATCATCTGCTGTTGTACCATAATGTGTTTTATAGTTTGTAATCATGCGTGCTGCATTTTTAGAGTTTGACATGAATCATTGATGAGATGATTAAACATGTATTATGAATGTGATGTTCAGCCATAATAGTTCCATATCGGTAATTCAAAAGAAGTGCATGCATAGTGATGAAAATGTTTTGCGTGTTAAGAGTAGAGTCACGTTTAGTTCAGTACAGATGGCTGATGTAACAGATGATTACTCACTAAACAACATTAATTCAGATAGATAATTGAGCGGAGATGCTAAGTCCTATCTTATAATGATTTTATTTCCTCATATTTATGTCTAGATATGAAGACAGGAGCATAATCGATCTGTTTTCTATTAGTAGCGGGGTGCATTTCAATAACTGCCGCATCAGTCAATTTCATTGTCTGCACACAGAAAGGAAATAAGTACTGTTGCTAATGCATTTCTTAGAAGCATTGATTGTCTTTTTAACATCCTTTGATTATGACTGGCTGTGAAGTGGATCTGGTAATGGTTACTGACTCTAGTGTTGCATAAACTTCATCTGTTTAAGGGTGCTTTTCTCACCAACTGGTGGTAGTTAAAATATATTTACACAAACATTTAAAACATTAAATATACAACAAATGCATTCAGATGCATTAGCTTTTTAAAGGAGCATGGTAAATGTTTTTTGGGGGTAGGGTTTGTAATGTTGTGATTCATCTTAGAGCTGGTTGTGTTGGTAACATGGATCAGAACTCTTTATTGAATTTTTTCATCTCTGTGGAAATAAAAGAATGGGGAAATAATTCTGAAACTAGGAGTGCTGAAAATGTCACCGTAGTGCTCCATTAGTCCTGCAGTTCTGCTGGGTAAGTGTGTTCTTTTGTAGACTACTATACTGAACATATTGTCTGAGGTCATTTTAAGTGACATTATGTGAAGTTAATGGGGGAACATTGAAAGGATTTAAACTTCACTCTAAGCCCAAAAATGTTACAGCCTCTCTCTCTCTCTCTCTCTCTCTCTCTCTCTCTCTCTCTCTCTCTCTCTCTCTCTCTCTCTCTCTCTCTCTCTCTCTCTCTCTCTCTCTCTCTCTCCTCCCTCTCCTTTTAAAATGCAAGAACAGAATGTCTTTTTAAATATCAATGTTAAAATGTTAATTTCAAAAAATTTCCCAAGAGGCCTTAATTTCTTCATATTTAACCCTATAGAAAAGGTTTTTATCAAAGGTTTGTGGATGTTCATACTTGAATTAAAGGTACGTAAGGTATTAAAAATACTTTTGTAATAAAATATCCAAAAATCACTTGCACAGTGTGATATATTTCCTGCAGTTGTGTACTTACAGTATCCCAAAAGTCTCCAAAAATTGTTTTTTAGCGGCACACAGTTATGTTTCTTTCAAACATAGACCATGGCAAGCAGACTTTGGGACAAACAAGGAGAACTAAAATGAGGAACTTCATCATTTTATATCAGAGTGGTGAATAAAGGTGAATTGCACTTATTCAGTCAAAAAAAGAAAAATATATATTTACACTGTTACAGACCTCAGTTTGTTAGCAGCCCTAAAAATTTTTTTTCAAAAAATAATAAATAAATAATATAATATAATAAATTGATTGTCTAGCTTTAAAAAATGAATGAGGAGGAGGGTAGTGAATTATGTCCTGGAGCACCAATGCTACAATTTTCTGTATCATAATCATTTGTTAACAAACATGTATTCATTAGTTTAATGAGCTCATTGTTTCTGCTTTAAAGGGTTAGTTCACCCAAAAATGAAAATTAAGTCATTAATTACTCACCCCCATGCTGTACCAACCCCGTAAGACCTTCGTTCGTCTTCGGAACACAAATGAAGATATTTTTGATTAAATTTGAGAGCTGTATAACTACCACATTGGCTCCTAAGGGACTGCCTCTTGACGGCCCAGAAAGTCAATGAAGAAAATGTTTAAATATCCCAAGTGACTACCGTGGCTCAACTATATGTTTATCAAGGGACGCGAATACTTTTTGTGCGAAAAAACAAACAAAAATAACGAGTTTATTCGACTATTTCTTTTCTTCCTTGTAGGCCAGAAACGAGATTTCCTTCGATTTCCACGACGCATGCGCGAGAATTGCGATCTGAAGTAGTGTAAGCTGGTGTAAGCAGATCGCAATTCTCGCGCATGCGTCGTGGAAATCGAAGGAAGTCTCGTTCTGGCCTACAAGGAAGAAAAGAAAATAGTCGAATAAACTCGTTATTTTTGTTTTGTTTTTTCGCACAAAAAGTATTCGCGTCGCTTGATAAACATATAGTTGAGCCACGGTAGTCACTTGGGATATTTAAACATTTCTTCATTGACTTTCTGGGCCGTCAAGAGGCAGTCCCTTAGGAGCCAATGTGGTAGTTATACAGCTCTCAAATTTAATCAAAAATATCTTCATTTGTGTTCCGAAGACGAACGAAGGTCTTACGGGGTTGGTACAGCATGGGGGTGAGTAATTAATGACTTAATTTTCATTTTTGGGTGAACTAACCCTTTAAAGCTGCAGTCTGGCATTTTTCCTCTTTGTCGCCATCTCTGTTCGAAACCTGCAATTGCAGTTATTCACAGAATTATCAGCTTTACGTGAGTTGTACTTCAACACACTCAAAACCATAGATATTAGCACAGCGTGGATGAACACAATGTTTGAGGAGACTGAGGTGCTGGTGTGGATACTGGCATTCAGAATCACAGATTATTCTTTTTGGAAATATGACCAACATAATAATTTTCACCGGAAAATGGCATCTGAACAAGTAAGAAACATCCACCTTTGTTTTGGTTCTGACATTGCAGTAAATCGCTCTGATTAAATCACTTATAATTTTTTTTTCACACAAAACATGTGCAAATTGTACTTTGTTCTCAAATTGATAATGTTAACAATATCAGCATTGTGTGACATGTAATGTCCTTCCGATATGTATCCTTGTTTTTCCATGGGTCCGGTTGCAGTCTCTTAAGGCTATAAATCTCCACCACCAGCATCCTCACACACAATATAGCCGACTAGCCGAGACTCCTCCTTTATGTGTACAGATTTGACGTAATGACGCAAATACATGCTCGAATCTCCCGCGGAAATCCATGTTAATTGAAATAAAGACCCGAGGGATGCGTTAAAGGCTTAAATAGAATACCAAATAGGCTGTTATAAGTAATTTTAAATCAAATGATTATGTTGATCAAGTTATTTATACTTTAAATAAATAGTAGTGTGTAGTTTTAGATAAACTGCCCTCCATCTGCGTGCGTCACCTTAATCACGTGACTTTTTTTTTTTTTTTTACTTGAAACTTGATGGACACAAATTAGAAGATTTAATAATAATAATATTGATTTATTTAGGTTGCACTTTATTTTACAGTATGTGCACTTACATGTGCATGTACTTACAACTACATGGGTTATGGTTGGGTTTATGGCTAGGTTCAGGGTTACCCAGTTATTGTAAAAACTATAATAAGGAACAGGACTGTAAAATAAAGTGCTACTATTTAGAATTTTAAATTGTTAAATACTTCAAATTGTAAATTCTGATTGGATGAGCCACATTCGAAGGTCACATTTTAATCATGAATTCACACATCAGTTGAGTCCTATATTAATGTGAGTTGTAACATTACTCTGTAAATGTTTGTTTGTAAGCTCTTCCTCATCTTGACACTGCATTTTTGTAACTCAATGTTTTGGCATCACTTTTGCGAGTAAATAATGTAAAACAGTACTGAACAACGTGATATCCTTTCAGTCAATATCCTGTCTCATTTATAGACCCTTAGCGCTTTTGGAAAGAAATCTACTTTAATAATGAAACAAATTTCCAATCTGAGAGGCCTTGTCTTGAAGAACTGAACCACATTCCACCTCTGTCAGCAGGCTTGTGGATTATCCCTGCCTTCATCAAGTGTACGAGCCCTTTCACGTCCTCGGTGAGGTCTGGTCTTTAAACGGACATGCAGTTTGGGAACAGTAATTAGTGTTCACTCAAGGACGCAGGCAATAGTAACCATGGCAACGACATTAGCAATTTAATAGAGAATTACAGCTGTCCCCTCCGAGCAGGACATGGTGAAGGAAACCTTTCATCTCTGAATTAACCCCGGTGTGGACAGGGGCTGTGGCTTTGATAAAGAATCCCTAAATCATTTAGAACCCGCTTTGTTTTGGGAATAAAGTGAAACTAAAAGTGTCTGCTCAGATATTATCTCCGATAACCAGCTAATGACTTCTCCATTTATCTGTTCGGTCCATTTCTGGAACCATCACGTTTGAAAGGATAGCTGATAAAAGCTGATAAATTTCCTACTGAGAATCAAAAGCAATTATTGACAAGCTGATTAAAAAACGCTTTCAATATGGTGCATCAAGATGAACAGATGAAGGCAAATTTTAGTCTGATTAATTAAAAGCCTAAAGGAGACAACGCAGAAAACACTGACAGCAATTCATAGAGACTTACAATACGAGGTTCATTCTTGTGTTACACAGCACGTTTGAGCTTCCTCGAGAACCAATGAGGTTCATTCTTGTGTGTTACGCAGCACGTTTCAGCTTCCTCAAGAACCAATGAGGTTCATTCTTGTGTGTTACGCAGCACGTTTGAGCTTCCTCGAGAACCAATGAGGTTCATTCTTGTGTGTTACGCAGCACGTTTGAGCTTCCTCGAGAACCAATGAGGTTCATTCTTGTGTTACACAGCATGTTTGAGCTTCCTCAAGAACCAATGAGGTTCATTATTGTGTTACACAGCACGTTTGAGCTTCCTCAAGAACCAATGAGGTTCATTCTTGTGTTACGCAGCATGTTTCAGCTTCCTCAAGAACCAATGAGGTTCATTATTGTGTTACACAGCACGTTTGAGCTTCCTCAAGAACCAATGAGGTTCATTCTTGTGTTACACAACACGTTTGAGCTTCCTCAAGAACCAATGAGGTTCATTCTTGTGTTACACAGCATGTTTGAGCTTCCTCAAGAACCAATGAGGTTCATTCTCGTGTTACACAACACGTTTGAGCTTCCTCAAGAACCAATGAGGTTCATTCTTGTGTTACGCAGCACGTTTCAGCTTCCTCAAGAACCAATGAGGTTCATTCTTGTGTTACGCAGCACGTTTGAGATTCCTCAAGAACCAATGAGGTTCATTCTTGTGTTACACAGCATGTTTCAGCTTCCTCAAGAACCAATGAGGTTCATTCTTGTGTTACACAGCATGTTTCAGCTTCCTCAAGAACCAATGAGGTTCATTCTTTGCGTGTTACGCAGCATGTTTGGGCTAGTGAACTATCCCTTTAAGGCAAGTATGCAAATGAAAGCACTACTAGTTATGAAATATGTCATACCGCAATTCATAATGAAACCCAGGTACTAGTATAAACTGTGTACATCTTCAGTCAGTTTTCTCTTTCAGGCCAACTACTGTCATAGCAGAGCAACAGTCTGAATATAATACTAAACAAGTAGGTTAAAGTTAAATCGTCAACATATTACGGCTTCCTGAATTTAAAAAAAAAGTGTCAAGTTCTGGATGCAAGTACCTGGATGCTTAGCCAACACATTAAAAGTGTTTATTGAATATACTCACATGCTCTCTTGCATTGCTGTGGTGATAATGTCTGTTTCTGGCCTTAGTTGAGTCTTCTACCCACACATTTTGGTGGTTAAAGGGTCTAAAAGCTGTCGCTGGCGATACATTATTTTACAGACTGTTATCATTTAAGCTGTGATAGTGTATGAAATTTGCAGTATTTTGATAATTGCATGCTGTGATTAACGACTCAGCCATTGATGGTGTTAAGCTGTCGAAGCTGGGATGGGAGATAACGTGTGTGTGTGTGTGTGTGTGTGTGTGTGTGTGTGTGAGAGAGAGAGAGAGAGAGACTTCAGTGCCACTCAGGCCTGACATGAAGAACAACTCAATTTACCAGTGGCTAGAGGGGAGGGGAAATACATCCTTGAACATCTTGTGTATGAGCCTTTGTGTGTTGGGTTAGTTGCATGAAAAAATGGAAGCTTGCAGTTAATAATATCATGTATCATGGCAAGGGAATCGGAAGGAATTTAACAATTATTCTAAAGCCCCGTTCACACCGCCAGCGACACGCAGCGACAAAGCGACAAGATCCCATTCATTTCAATGGAGCGCTGGCGACATCCGGCGACACGAGCGACAGTGACCGTTGGCGACAGAATGTGGGCGTGTCAAGCGACAAGAGACAAGCGACAAAAGTTGAGAATTTTCAACTTTATGCAAATGAGAAGCGATTTTCGCGAGCGACAACCAATAGGAAAGAAGACTTTCAGTGGAGCTCAGCTCACGTCACCGTCTCGAGTGCAGGCAAGACAGAAAGAAAGAGTTTGAGGACGATTTCACTGTTTTATATGATTTGACTGTAACCACATACATGGATAATAAAATGATGCATGGAAAAGAAACTGTCGACAGTGAGTTTAATTCATACATTTAACGTTATAGTTCGAGTGTTGTAATTATATGATGCACGTTAGCACTGCTGCAGTTCATTTTACAATTTCCCCTGCATTACATTGACTATTAGGGACAAGAAAATTGATTATTTGTCAAATTCGAATGACGTTTTTATAATTTGTGACCGTATGAGTGAGTTTAATTTGTTCATTGATCGATCGTTGATCTAGTAAATGATTTAATCCACTGAACACAGCTGTGGAGATATAAAAACACTCTCCCAACAGCATATGGTTTCTTTTTAGCCTTAAAAGTCATTTATTCCCAGTCAAATTAAAATTATATATCACTTGGGATGATCTCTTGTATAGATATGGCCAGACGTGCAGTCTACCAATAACACAAGAGCGACAGCACTACGAACGCCCACAAGCGACATCACAGTACAGAGCCTAGCGACACACAGCGACAAAATCGCTGGCGGTGTGAACGGGGCTTAACTCAGATTAAACTTTTATATTTTTTATGCCGCCCTTCTGGACTCCACTCATACCACTCCGGGCTCTGGACATCCAGGTAGCATACCCTCTCACTCCTCAGTAGCCGGTACTGGTGGCCGTCCATTTCTCAGGACGACTCCAGGTATGTCAGAGGGTGCTCAGTCTGTGCTGTTACCAACACCCCCAGAAGACTCCGGGAGGGAAAGCTTGTGCCACTTCCTATCTCACAATGATCATGGTCTCACATTGGAGTTGATTTCATGACTGACCTTCCCCGATCGAGCAATCACACTTGCATCTGCGTCGCTGTGGATCGCTTTTCAAAGGCCTGCAAGCTAATTCCATTGCCGGGGCTTCCAACTGCTTTTGAGGCTGCTGAAGCTCTCTTCAATCATGTATTTCGGAACTTAGGCATCCCAAAGACATTGTGTCGGACAGAGGTTCACAATTCATCTCTAGAGTGTGGCAAGCGTTCTTCAGGCTCCTCAGGGTTACGCTCAGCTTGTCTTCTGGATAACACCCTCATAGTAACAGCCAGACTGACCGGAAGATCCAGGAGATTGGACGGTACAAGAGGACCTATTGCCACCAGTACTAGGACAGCTGGAGCCAGTTCCTCCCCGGGGCTGAATACACCCAGAATTCCCTTCGGACGTCCTCCACTGGGCTCACCCCCTTTCAGTGTGTCCTGGGTTTTCAGCCGCCACTCTACCCTTGGTCTGCTGAGTCCTCTAAGCTTCCAGCTGTTGATTACTGGTTCCATCAAAGTGAGAGGGTATGGGACTCGGCTCAAGTGCATGTCCAGCAGGCAGTGCGGAGGCAGAAGGACCAAGCAGATTGTCCCGTTCGGAACCTCCTTAGTACCAGCCTGGACAGAAGGTGAGCCTTTCGATCTGGGTCATTCGCCTCCGCCTGCCTTACGTAAGCGGAGTCCTCGATACATTGGTCCTTTCACTGTGCAGAGGCAGCTGAACGAACTCACCTACAGGCTAAACCTTCCTCCTCAATACCAGATTTCACCTTCTTTCCATGTGTCACGGTTGAAGCCCTTCACTGAACCTGTCACTTCTCCTCCCACAGAACCTGTTCCGGCTGACATACCTCCTCCTCCGGTTCCCATTAAGGAGGAGCCCATCTACCAGGTCCGCATCTTCTTGGACTCATGGCGACGAGGTCCGCGGCTAGAATACCTGGTTGACTGGGAGGACTATAGAGCTGGTAAGTCCCGCCCCTTTCGCTAACTCCGCTGGACCTCTAGGTTGAAAAATCGTCAATGCAAGTGAATGAGAGCAATGAATTTTGCAATGAATGTGAACATATGTTGTCTGTGAATTGAATATACCATCTTAATACACCCCTGCATGAATATACCATCTTAATACATGTTAGTACATGCTTGTACATTTCGGGGTAAACTAAATCAAACTTGCTCTAGAAAATGGACACATTTTGTTGCTCAAAAGAAGAGCAAGAACCCTAACTGAAAAACATCCAACTGCATTATGATATAAAGACAGTAAACCAATTTTTAGCTTTCAGATATTCCATGGGATGACAGGAAATTAACATGTTTAGTATAAGAAAATTGTAATTAAATAAAGTTTGACTTCCCATTGCACTTTGTAAACAAGTGATTGTTAACTGCAGGCTACTTTATTGCAGTTATGTCATCAACCAATTTGCATGCTTGGACTATTTTGTAAAAGATCATTTTGCAAAAAACAAACAAACAAATAGACCTCGAGGGAGCATATGTTAAATAGTTCACACTTCAACACAGCAATTTCAAACCAAAACTACTACTGAGGGAGCCAAACAGCCAATCCTCCTTCAAACAAAGCCCTGCCCCCTTTGGTGAGTACTGGCTTTCTTTTTCCCACTTCAAGCACTAATTACAGTTCTGTTTGTTAGTGTGTTTGCATTTAGCCCCAGAGAACACTCATCTTGCTATACCGCACACATTTCCTTCCAACCCTCCCCTTTTCCACTTTATTATCTTCAATCTTCTCTCAATTCCCACTTGTTTCTCCTCTTGCCACAGAATACTGCATCATCATGTGGTTTCAAACTCATTTATTTTTATTGTAGAGCACAATAGGAGAATTTTATTAGCACTTTTATGTTAAAATTCTGGCCCCAGTAGTTACGAGTCAAATTGATCCAAATTGCATTCACTACAATTCAGCAACAATCACACCATAAAAGACATCAACAACAAAAATTAAAAGATTGAACCTTGCACATTAATAAATCTCACACATTACAAGAAAATTGGTCTTTGGGATGTGCTTTATAAAACTCAAAAGTTTTTAAACATTTGTTTTTCACAAAACAGTATGTTAAATAGGCTACTTTCTTTTATATAAAAAAAGTTAAAAAAAAATAATATATTAATAATGTGTGCTTTCCTGAAGCTTAAAGAGTAGAGATTCCAAGCAAATTTTGGGTGTCTTTAAAATTTGTGGATCAACATCACAACGTACAGAAATAACATTACAATCGCAATAGAAATTTTGTATGCACATTCCACAAAACCTCAGTGTATTGAAAATTTGCCGGCATTACACCTATAAGAAACAGCCACACAATTTTCCGACAACTCAAAAAAGTGCTGCGGGTCAAATTGACCCGAAAGGCTGAAACACAGTGGGTTAGAACAACGTTCCAGATTCCTCCTCCCCCCAACCGCATCGATAGCCATGCATGCATGTGAACATGCTCATGTCAACATAAGATGATACAACCAAACACTGGTCTTCTAACAATCCACAGCTTCTGATCATTTGATTTCACATGCTTCTCTGGATCAAATAACTGGAGGCAACTGAGTTGATGTGATGTGTTTTAGCAGAGTGAGTGGGGAATCCAGCCAAAAGGCCTTAAATCAAATCCACCACAATCCCAATGGCAATAAGCCCACATGAGTTCACTTTTTCTCACTTTCCTGATTTTCATCAGGATAAGCGAGCCTACTGTACTATTCTTCTGACACAGAAAAGCCTACAAATCAAACAAACGGCTTCATATTAGTGTCAGGTGTAGATGTTTAATATAACATCATTTCTGAGTGAATTCCCAGGTGGACGAAGGGATTTGTATACTGATTTGTTAACTTGTAAGTCACTGATTCAAGTCATTTAAAGGAGAACTCCGGCGCAAAATGAACCTTTGGTCTAATAAAACTTTGGTACCTAGTTGACCGTTCTCTGAGATTTTTTTTCATGATAATCAAATATTAATCTCTAAAAACTGTTTAGGGTATAATGCTAGTATATGGGGGCATTTAATAAGTAAAAAGAAATCGCTAGTTAATACCACTAACAAGGCTCAAAATAGCACACTAACACAGTAACATAATGAGGGTCCCTGCATACATAACAAAGCATTGAGAACTTTGTAAGTGTACAGACCGTTTAATAAGAAGATGTTTTCTAAAGACCGTTCACTTCGTGTATACAGGCGGCGCCATCTTTGGAAATCAGTCTCGACCAGTCAAACCACGAACGATGTGCCAAGTGAGCCGAATTGTATGAAGTTCAGCGAACTTCTGAACTGTATGAACAGCGTTCAGTAATCGACTTGTCGAGACTGTTTTCCAAAGATGGCTCCTGTCTGTATACATGAAGTGCACTGTCTTTATAAAGTATCTTCTTATTAAACGGTCTGTACACTTAGAAAGTTCTCAATGCTTTGTTTTGCATATAAGGACCCTCATTATGTTACTGTGTTAGTGTGCTATTTTGAGCCTTGTTAGTGGTATTAACTAACGATTTCTTTTTATTTATTATATGCCCCCATATATTAGTGATATACACTAAACAGTTTTTAGAGATACAACACTTTACATTCGATTATCATAAAAACAAATCTCAGAGAACGGTTGAGTAGGTACCAATGTTTTATTAGACCAAAGGTTCATTTTGCGCCAGAGTTTTCTTTAAGGTCTAATGATGTTGCTACCTGTTTATTACCTGTTTTAAAGTTGCATAGTATAATCTTGTTCTTTCAAATTTAAATGTTCTTAATCGAGATCATGTTTATTCATAAAAAAAGAAAATAAAGTTTTGGGTTGGTAAGATTTTTGAAAAGAAGTCTCTTATGCTCACCAAGGCTGAATTTATTAAATCAAAATACAGTAAAACAATTACATTGTTCCTGTGATGCAAAATTTCTTATTATTATCAATATTGAAGACAGGTGTGCTGCAGGAAACCATGATACATTTTTTTTTCCCAGGGATTTTTTTATTTTCAAATCTCTTCACTGTAACCTTTGATCAATTAAATGCATCCTTTTGGAATAAAAATGTCAATTTCATTATATATATATATATATATATATATATATATATATATATATATAAGACGTACTGATCCCAAACTTTTAGAAGGTAGTGTATCTGTTTAAAAAGATACAGAGATGTGGATATCTTTTATTAGAATAGCTACAAGCTATTTTTTTCAAAGGAAATGTCACCATGTAGTGCCTGAAGGCTGCTTTAAAGTAATGAGCTGTTACAATGTTTGGCTGATTCAATCAATCCACAAGAGAATCGCACTGCTCCTCTGGGCCAGCAGGGATTTTTAATATTGACCGGGACAACGTGAATATTCCTAACCCTCAAAAAAGAGATGGAGTCTTTACCCTCTAAAAATGATTAGCTTTTATGACAGAAATATTTTTATGCAAGTACACAGACACAATCTCCCATTTTACACCTTATTTTGCATAATGTGTATTAGTTTGTGTCTGCACAGGTTTTAAGAGGTTATTGTTTATTTGTGGCACAGGAGGCTAGTTGACATTTCAAGTAAAGCCCACACACTTCATTTTATTTTAGTTTAAGCTTTAGTTTTAGTCATTTTTATGTGATTTTGTCATTTTTTATCATTATTTTTGAAATACCTCTATTTAGTATGTTGTCTTTTCATGTTTTATGGGGACTCTCTGTAGGCATAATGATTTTTATCTCCCCACCCTAACCCTATAGCCCTAAATCTATCCATCACAGACAATTTTCAGCATTTTTACATTTTCAAAAATATCACTTAGTATGATTTATTAGCTATTAAATGTTCCCACAAGGACAAAGATTTTAGATATAGGCATGTTTCCAGAAGAGCATTGATCAATGTCACATTTGTTTCCACGTAGTGTTTATTCCAGATGAATCATATGCCAATAATGATGTGTTTAATCATGTCTAAATAGCAGATGGAGTTGGATACAGATATTCCCATTGGCAGTCTAACGGTTTTATTCATTATTAAAGCTGCATTAGGTTTTACCGCATCCACCAAACAGAAAATAGCTTTTTTTTAGCTGCAATAATAGGTTAAAAAAAACGTGCTACCTTACTCGTTGTCAACTGCATTGGTCGTATTTTCATCTAAATGAACTGCCTCCATTTCCAATCATTGCAGGAATGTCAAAACAAAGGAGAAATTGGTTATGCTATTCAACTTGATGAAATCACACGTTTTATGGTTTCAAGAGTGTGCTTGCATGTGTAAATGCAAAAATACACTTTTAGTGCAATGACACGCTAAAGAAAAGCTTTACCAAAAAGGGATAATGCAAGCAACATAAGACACTAATATTTCAATATATTACTGATGTTGTCTAGTGACATTTTGTTTTAGAGGCTCTTAAAAGCATGCAATGAACATTTAATTTGTAACTGCCATTGAGATGAATAATAATGCTAACATTTCTTTCCAGATATTATAGACTTTAAAGTCATGTAAATAAACACTTTCTGTCTATTCTAGTAAAAAGAAAATATACCAAAATAAATGTAAAATACATTATTTCAAATACCATTAACATATTTACTGACATAATGCTTGATTTTTTTATCTTACTGATAAAAAATATTATTATTAAACTTTATTTGGAGTACTTTATTTCACTATACACATTTCTTATTATTAAGTTTTGATATTACTACTATATGATATTAGTAATATATGATCTCTCTCTCTCTTTCTCTTTCTCTCTCTCTCTCCTACCTTTTTTTTTCAGATCTCTCTGAGAGGATAGTTCATATCTTGGCGCCCAGAAAATATTCCACGAATTAATTTCCTGAATGACCTCCATTCACCCCAATAAACCTCAGGTCCAAACTGGAGAGTTTAAAGTGCAATTTCCATTTTATCATCATTGCTAAAGTCTGCTGACTATAAGGGTCTGTACTTCCACAGGTTTACAAGACCAATGGTTTTATTTTGAGGAAGGAGAACATTAGAGCTGATTTAAAATTTCCAATGAGATTATTTGAAAAAAAACAAAAAAAAAAAACATCAAAGTGTGAGTTTAAAGGGAGCAAGGGAGCAACAATTTGATCTAGAGGGGGAATAGTGAAGGTAAAAATTATTAAGCTATGGTTTAATAAATCATATTCGTCATGATTCCAGGCACAAATCGATGAAGTGTGTTTGCCAGTATAATCTTTCATTTTTAATAGTCTGGCACCAACACACGTTCTCTATGAGGAACGTTCTTGTCAATATGCTCTCTGAAAACTGTAAGAAAAGGCTGCTTTGTTGTGGTTATTTCATGCAATAACGGAGTAAATATTTCATATTACTGGAGCTATTAGAGGAATTTCGCCTCAGTGTGCTTTTTCTTTGGCCATTAAATCTTGTAAAGATTTTGACATTTGATTATTTCTGTTATTCTTCATTATGTTGTCACTCGTCACAGCATTTTGATTTCCATAATTTGATCTATTTTCAGATACAGAATAATGAAGGACTGGATATTTTTTCTGATCTGATTGTGAAATGTGTCTTTTTTGACAGGCGGTTGGAGGGGAGGAAAGTTGTTTAAGAGACAGAAAAACTGTAAGATTCTTAAAGGGATAGTTGACCCAAAAATTATTATTCTGTCATTACTCTTCTCATGTTGTTCCAAACATATGATTTTTGTCTATCTTTGGAATAATGAAGATCTTTTTGATTAAATCTTTCTGTACCGTCAAAATTAAACAGCTACACAACTACCACATTGACCCTTAAAAAAGTTCATTAAGAGATTGTAAAACTAATCCATATGAATTGAGTGGTTTAGTCCAAATTTTATAAAGAGACACGATCACTTTTATATGATGAACAGATTTAATTTAGGCTGTTATTCACATAACATTGATCAGTGAAAACATAAACAGAAGCTAAGAACCTGCTTGATGTGCGAGACCAGACATCTTGTGTAAGCTCAAACGTGCTGTGTAACACGAGAATGAACCTCATTGGTTCTCGAGAAAGCTCAAACCTGCTGCGTAACACGAGAATAAACCTCATTGGTTCTTGAGGAAGCTCAAACGTGCTGTGTAACATGAGAATGAACCTCATTGGTTCTCGAGAAAGCTCAAACCTGCTGCGTAACAAAAGAAAGAACCTCATTGGTTCTTGAGGAAGCTCAAACGTGCTGTGTAACACGATAATGAACCTCATTGGTTTGTGAGGAAGCTCAAACGTGCTGCGTTTAAAAATGACAAGAACACACATAACAATTACTAAAACTAACTTAAATTAGAATGAAAAGGGGAAATCTACAAATAAAAGCTAATTTAAAATATTCATGAAAAAATATAATAGTATCTCAATGGTAACAGTTTCATGATGATTTCAGATATCTGATATCTTAACTATCCAATCTAGTAATTTACAATTTTGAAGATGATCATATAGCTGCTTTTAGAAAATGTATTAATATGTACTGAAGTGTTATATCTTTAGTGTGTGTTTGTGTGTGCGTACATGAAATGCAATTTTCATTTTGTTGATAACTTTTAAAAACGAAAAAGAAAAAATAAACAGTATACAGAAGTTTAAATTCAAAGGCATCAACCCTTTAGACAGGTGAAAAAACAACAACACATGTATACATAAAAACCACTTAAAATTTCTCACAGAGTAATTAAGTCACAGTTCATTGTCTCAGACAGAAAGATATTATGATGAATTGTGAAATTTAATTGGTTATAAATGCCTCTGCTTTTTATGGCGATTGCATGTAAGACTGAACGATTCACAGGCAAAAGCATCACATCCTCATCTTAAAGATTGCAAAAACTTTCTGCATTCCCCTGACCATGAAAGACAACTAAGTTATTAAAACAAGATGAAGTCGTCAATCCTCAACATCATTCTCCAGCTTTAAACAGGTAAAAAGGCTCAAACCACCTCTCATTCAATGAAACATGCAACAATTATTTGGTTCTCTTGAAACAAGACAAGAGACACTGTGACCAGACTCTTCTTTCTGGCTTCCCAAGGTGGATACGAGGGATTGGGAGCAGCAGAGAGACATGATAGAAGGAAAGAAAGGATATGGTCCTACCTGAACTCACATCCCGTGGAGCAGAAAGTGTGGATGAAGTGTTTCTTGATGCATGCTGCAGAGCGTCTGACACTGAGCCTGTGGATCCTGCTGCACTCAGAGCTCACTCGTACTGCATTGCTTCTTAAAACACACAGAGAGAGAGAGAGAGAGAGAGAGAGAGAGTAAGAGCACGAGTATTTGGAAATGGAAGTGAGGGATTCCCACTCCACATAGTGTACACTCACAGACAACATTTTCTGGCTGTGACCAACGTTTGAGCATATATCCAACGCATTCTCATTCTTTGGCGTCATATAGGTGATGCCATATGACATTTCGTCATCATTCTATCTATCTATACATCCATTACTATGTATGTATATCTATGTATGTATATGCATGTATGTTTCTATCTATCTATATATCTGTCTGTCTATCTATCTATCTATCTATCTGTCTGTCTATCTATCTATCTATCTATCTATCTATCTATCTATCTATCTATCTATCTATCTATCTATCTGTCTGTCTGTCTGTCTTTCTATCTATCTGTCTGTCTGTCTGTCTGTCTGTCTCTCTGTCTATCTATCTATCTATCTATCTATCTATCTATCTTCCTATCTATCCATCCATCCATCTATCCATCCATCCGCCCACCTGTCTCTCTGTCTACAATATTTATCCATCTGTATCTCTATCTGTATGTCTTTCTACACTATTTATCCATCTGACTGTCTGTTTTTCTACAGCATTTATCCATCTGTCTGTCTGTCTGTCTGATTGTCTGTCTACGGCATTTATCCATCTGTCTGACTGTCTGTATGTCTGTCTGTCTGACTGTCTGTCTGACTGTTTGTCTGTCTACAGCATTTCTGCCTGTCTGTCTGTTTGTGCAAGGGCGTAGATATACACGGGGGACGCGGGGGACGTGTCCCCCCCACATTTTATAAAATGTAAATTTGTCCCCCGCACTTTTTCATAGGGAAGTGTTCACGACATGTTGGGGTTTTCGCAAGCCAATGTGTATTAATAGATACAGATTTAAAATTCAAAGAGAAAAGATCGTCTATCTACTCTATCTACACGTGACTTTCACGTTGCCATGGTAATCAATCACTCGCGCTCGTGCATCACCACACGCCCGTGCTCGCACCCGCACTGAATCCATCGTCGAAGGTCGAAATGAATTCAAAACGGCAAAAAGCACTTTTTTCGCAAAAAAGTCAAGGACTGTAAGTTGTAATGTGGTATCCGAATTTGGTTGCTCATTGTCATTGATGAATAACTTTGCCTAATTGTCTGCAATTATCTAACTTATTTGCTTGAATCATGCAGCGTTGCACTTGACTTGTAACATGTGTACATGATGTTTACCATATAATAAGGTAACACTTTACAATTAGATTAAAAAAGTTTGTAGACAAACGTTAAGTTTTCTTTAAAAAGCCTAACCAGAAAGTTTGAAGAAGTTTTAAAAGCATGAAGTTTGAATGTTTTCAATATGAATGACAGTTTTGGTTAAGTAAAACCAGACCGACCGACCGACAGATAGATAGATAGATTGTTAACTAATGAAACCTTATTGTAAAGTGTTACCATTCAATATAAATGCTGTATGCAATTGTAAAAAAAAAAGGTATAATGCTTGACATTCTGTCCCCCTCACTTTTGAAATGATTGCTACGCCCCTGTGTTTGTGTACAGCATTTATCCATCTGTCTGTCTGTCTGTTTTTCTACAGCATTTATCCATCTGTCTGTCTGTCTGTCTGTCTACAGGATTTATCCATCAGTCTGTCTGTCTGTCTGCAGCATTTATCCATCTGTCTGTCTGTCTGTCTGTCTACGGCATTTATCCATCTGTCTGACTGTCTGTCTGTCTGTCTGCCTGTTTGTCTACAGCATTTATCCATCTGTCTATCTGTCTGTCTACAGGATTTATCCATCTGTCTGTCTGTCTGTCTGTCTGTCTACAGCATTTATCCATCTGTCTGTTTGTCTACAGCATTTATTCATCTCTCTGACTGTCTGTCTGCCTGTCTGTCTGTTTGTCTACAGCATTTATCCATCTGTCTGACTGTCTGTTTGTCTGTCTACGGCATTTATCTGTCTGTCTGTCTGTTTGTCTACAGCATTTATCCATCTGTCTGTCTGTTTGTCTACGGCATTTATCTATCCGTCTGTCTGTCTGTTTGTCTGCCAGTCTGTCTGTTTGTCTGTCTACAGCATTTATCCATCTGTCTGTCTGTCTGTTTGTCTACAGCATTTATCCATCTGTCTGTCTGTCTGTCTGTCTGTTTGTCTACAGCATTTATCCAGCTCTCTGTCTGTCTGTCTGTCTGTCTGTCTGTCTACAGCATTTATCCATCTGTCTGACTGTCTGTCTGTCTGTATACGGCATTTATATATCTGTCTGTCTGTCTGTCTGTCTGTCTGTCTGACTGACTGTCTGGCTGTCTACAGCATTTATCCATCTGTCTGTCTGTCTGTTTGTCTACAGCATTTATCCAGCTCTCTGTCTGTCTGTCTGTCTGTCTGTCTACAGCATTTATCCATCTGTCTGACTGTCTGTCTGTCTGTATACAGCATTTATCTATCTGTCTGTCTGTCTGTCTGTCTGACTGTCTGTCTGTTTGTCTACAGCATTTATCCATCTGTCTGTCTGTCTGTCTGTCTACAGCATTTATCCATCTGTCTGTCTGTCTGTCTGTCTGTCTACAGCATTTATCCATCTGTCTTTCTGTCTGCCTGCCTACAACATTGATCCATCTGTCTAATGCTAAATCCTGAAGTATCCCTTTAAGACATATTGAAGTGACATTCTCTAAAAAAGCCTGCCTTACCATGCCTTATGTTAGAATTTTTTTAAGTTTTATGATCGACTAAGTGTGTTTGCTGGGTGGAAACTTGTGTGCTATAGTGTTATGAAAGAATGGCTTGATTTGAGACATGTATGAAGTGTTTTGGTAGTTTTGGTGCATTTTGAATGTTGAAAATTGGTGAGGAGAACTGTTTGAAGAGTTGTGGGGGAAAATACCCAAGTATTGAGAAATGGGTCCAAGCGATTGTAAAAAAAAAGAAAAGAAAAGAAAAAAGAAAAACTGTAATATTAATCGTATGTAGCGATATTTGAAGAAAATGTATTAAATGTAAACTTGAAACATTTACACATTATCACTAAAAATCCGTTTGTCTTACTTATGAGCGGTCATATGTATTAGTGAAAGGCCTGTGATGCTAATGGAAGCAGACAAGCAGCAGAGGCACTCTCACCATCCTCCTGCATTCTGGATGTTTCCGTCAGCAGTTAGTGCTGTCGGTACAGGTGCGCCACTCTATCTGCCTGTCCCATAAACATGCCTAACAAGGACAAACAAGAGAGCTTTGAGCAAGTGAAGTTCGTGCAGTGTAGAAGATCATATAAATGCACTTTGTCATTTGCTGGGTGTCTCAATCTCATGATGAACAGTGTAAACAGAAACTTGCACTTTGTCAATATCTCTATGGAAACTTGCACTTTGTCAATATCTTTATTTCGGCATTCAGAGCTCAATTTGCTACCTGACATTATCTAAAATTGCTAATGTGCTTCAGGGACTTTTCAACATTGGTGTTTTCATATATTCCAAACTGATGCATAAAAATGACACCCATAATCGGTGCTCCAGTCCACATTCAGTCTATAATCAGTTCAGTACTATTTCTCTTAAGGGATTTTAGACAAAGACATCTAATACAATAACATCTATTTAAAATAAATGCTGTTCTTTTGAACTTTATTGGGATCAAAAAAGAAAAGTATATGGAATTCCTTTTTGAAAGCTGTTCTTTGATTAAAATATCACCTCAAGATTAAAATGCATATAAAATTATGACCGTTCTTATATTTTGCAGAGGGGCCGGTGAGATGAAGACATTGATGGCTGATTTATCAACAGGGAATTTCACTTCTGAAGTTTACAGGGCTCAAAGTTTGTTCTGACTGCTGATTATAAAAATTCAATGAACAGCCCTCGTTTAGTTTTGCTTTTCAGTTTGATCTGCCAAGCCTGTCAGTTGTTAAAGCGTTAAAGCGCAGGCTAGTTTTTCTTTACCCGGAAAGCATGTTTAATAAAGAAGAGGTCAGCAAAACTTCCTATGAAGGTGTCTGCAGTGCAAGAGCTTATTAAACCAGGTCAGAGCAGCACTGCAGAGAAACCAGAGGAGGAAATCTAGTACAACACTGCTGCAGAACACATCTATCTATCTATCTATCTATCTATCTATCTATCTATCTATCTATCTATCTATCTATCTATCTATCTATCTATCTATCTATCTATCTATCTATCTATCTATCTATCTATCTATCTATCTATCTATCTATCTATCTATCTATCTATCTAATCTTATCTTATCTTATCTATCTATCTATCTATCTATCTATCTATCTATCTATCTTATCTATCTTATCTATCTATCTATCTATCTATCTATCTTATCTATCTATCTATCTATCTATCTATCTATCTATCTATCTATCTATCTATCTATCTATCTATCTATCTATCTATCTATCTATCTTATCTTATCTATCTATCTATCTATCTATCTATCTTATCTATCTTATCTATCTTATCTATCTATCTATCTATCTATCTATCTTTCTATCTATCTTATCTTATCTTATCTGTCTGTCTGTCTGTCTGTCTGTCTGTGTGTGTGTGTGTGTGTGTGTGTCTGTCTGTCTGTCTGTCTGTCTGTCTGTCTGTCTGTGTGTGTGTGTGTGTGTGTTCAGAGAGATGGCTCTGGTGTGTTATAGTCATGTTCCTGTAGTTTATTGTGGGCAGCCAGTTTCAGTTTCAAAAGTCTCCGTTTGGAAAAGTTCCGTTTCAAAAGTTTCCAAACTAAACGGTGTCTGCAGCTTTTCCAAAAATCTCGGTTTCCGAGGGCCGAAAACTCCGGAGTTAAACCTTTTTAAAGCGAAAACACACTAGTAAACAGGGCCTTAGCAACACATCATCATAGCGATCACTCAGAACTCCATAGCAACCACCTAGCAACTGTCTCGCAACCACTTGGAACACTTCAGAAAAATGCTTAGCAAAGCTGAAGTAACCGTCTAGATTCTAGAACACTAGAAAATAATCACAACATTCTAGAAACAGAATCA